AGTGGCACGCTCCTGGCCACCACAGCCTTGACCTGCTGGGCTCTGGCAATCCTTCCGCCTCGTCCTTCTAAGTAGCTGGAACTACAGGTGTGCGCTACCACGCCTGGCTAATTTTTGATTTATTGTAGAGATGATGTCTTGCCAAGTTGCCCGCAGGCTCAGGTAATTCACTCACCTCGGCCTCCCAAAGCGCAGGATTACAGGCTGAGCCACCAAGCCCGGCCCTGAGTGTTCTTGACTTTCAGGGTCACCATGAGCACCTCAGTATCCTAAATTCTTACAGACATGTGCCCAATCATGCACATTATGGCATTTAAAATTCTTCCCATTAGCAAATCCTGCTGCTTCAACAAACATTGGTTCTGGACATGGTGCAAGAGATTGTCTGAACAGGAGCCTTTGTGATAGGTTAATCTCCCCTCTTTACCCCTCACTTTACAGGTAAGGAGAGACTCCAGGATGGAAAATTACTTGCTCAGGTCTCTTAATACAGCAGTCGTCAACTTTTTGTCATCAGGGACTGGCTTTGTGGAAGACAATTTTTCCAAGGACTAGGGGGAGGGGACAGGGGGATGGTTTCAGGATGATTCAAGTGCATTACATTTATTATGCACTTTATTTCTATTATTATTATGTTGCAACATATAATGAAATAATTATACAACTCACCACTATGCAGAATCAGTGGGAGTCTTGAGCTTGTTTTCCCACAACTAGGTGGTCCCATCTGGGGGTGATGGGAGACAGTGACACCTGAAGTGTGTTGCTTATGTCCAGTCTACTCCATAATCTCATCTTGGTTGCTATCACTGCAGGAAACGCAGCTTCACAAAGACAGGATGTTGGAAATGGAAGCAGGTTTTTCATTACTGATCTGACAGGCAGTGGGGCTCAGACAGTAATGCGAGCCTTGGGGAGCAGCTGTAAATACAGATGGAGCTTCATTCATTCACCTGCTGCTCACCTCCCACTGTGCAACCTGGTTCCTTAACAGGCCACAGACCTATATCAGTCCATGGTCCAGGGATTGAGGACCCCTGACTTAATATACCTCCAGTTGTTCATCTCAGAATCTTCTTCATCTCCAAGACCCATGTAGACCATCTCGGTGGTTGGAAGTGGAGGAGAACATGACTCTAGCCAGAACTGGAGGTGGTTGGGGGAGAAGATCCAGGGTAGTAATGGGTATTGTGTGTGTGTGTGTGTGTGTGTGTGTGTGAGATGGTGTCAGCTATCTTCACTCTCCCATTATCGTCAATTCATCATCATCAACATAATCACCACTATTATCATCAACATCTACATCATTACTTTTTTCCCTAGCCCTTTCTTAGCAGTCCAGTGAAAAATATGCAGATGGGTAGGTGGGACCCCCCCCTTTCTTCCTTCCTCTCATCTCAATCTCTCCAAAGAAGGCCAGGTGTGGAGACCACAGGTGGCAAAGTCTAGCCCTGCCCTACTGCAAGAGAGGATCACTTGGGCCAGACAGACTAATCTCACTCCTTTGTCCCTCATTTTACAGATAAGAAGAAACTCCAGGATGGAAAATTGCTTGCTGGGGTCACTTAATACAACGTTTCCCAACCTTTTTGGCTTCAAGGACTGGTTTCATAGAAGACAATTTTTCCACAGACCTGGGGGAGAGGTACTGCAGGTACTGTTTGGGCTGCAACAATGACAGCCTAAGTAGTGATGCCAGGGTACCCAAGTCTCCTCCTAGAACCTTTACTTCCCCATCTACCAGCGGGTGTCCTGGGAGACTCAACATTGGCAGTGTCTTGGAAAATGCTTTGTAATCTGCAAGGTGAATGTCAAGGGCAGGGACCCTGGTAAACACCAAAATAATCCTCAGTGAGTCTGGAGTTCTTTAAACACATGTTGGACATCCTTATAAAAAAGGGAAGTGTCCCTTTATAGATAAACAGGTCCTTATGCAGGTGGAAAATGAGGTGGAAAATGAGGCAAATATGAAGGATTCTTTTACGGGTATGCGGATTTTTTAATACATTTTGGAGTGGTCTATATGCATAGGAAGGTTTGTGCATAGAAGCTGTGTCCTTATACAGGTTGGGGGGGGATTGGAGGGAGATTTTATTCAAATGGCCACATCTTTCACAGGTGAGAGCACTTTTACAATCAAAAGTGAGGAATTTTTATACATGCAACTGGCTTTTATTTGTAAAAAGGCTGTGCAATTACCAGTGACCTTTAAACGGACATGAAGATTCTTCCTAATGATAAAGAGATCAGGGCAGACACAGTGGTTCACACCTATAATCACAGCACTCTGTAGGCCAAGGTGGGAGGATTCCTTGAGCCCAGGAGTTTGCGACCAGTCTGAACAACATAGCCAGATCCCTGTCTCGACCCCCTCCCCCCCCAAAAAAAAAATCCAAAAAAATGAGCTGGGTGTGGTGGTGCGTACTTGTAGTTCCAACTACCTGGGAGGTTGAGGAGGGAGGATTGTCTGAGTCCAGGAAGTCGTGGCCTCGGTGAATTGTGATGGTGCCACTGCACTCCAGCCTGAGCGACGGAATGAGACCCCCTAGACTCAAACAAACAAATAAATTGTTATGTTTTAAGGTGAAATAACACTACGGAGAACTTAGGACGACAAAGAGGGCTAGCCACCTTCAAGTCGCTCTGCAGCCCGGCTTCCTAGATGCGGCCGACGCAGGCAACCGTACCTGCGCGGGCGACAGGTGGGAGCCGTCGCCCAGGGGCGGAGCTCGGGGACCGACTCCAGGCGCCCGCAGTCCCCTCCGCGGCCGCCAGGGGCAGCACCGCGCCCTCCCTGCCCGCGCCTCCCCCCCAATCTCCGCCCCCCACCCC